ACTAGAACTGAACTAGAACTGAACTAGAACTGAACTAGAACTGAACTAGAACTGAACTAGAACTGAACTAGAACTGAATTAGAACTGAACTAGAACTGAACTAGAACTGAACTAGAACTGAACTAGAACTGCACTAGAACTGAATTAAAACTGAACTAGAACTGAAATATTTTCTATCGTTTTGATTCGTTTTAAGCACCCAGAATTTATATCGTTAAATATATCAGATATCAAGTAATATTTGACCCTATCAAAAAAGCCTGCATTCAGAATATGGTTTCGTAATCAATAGAATATTTTTATAATTAACACAACCCCCATATATTTAAGCTCATTTCATGAGTCTTATTTCTGCATGAGTCCACCGCATTTATAAATTACCTTTATACATATTTTGATAGTGGATATATACGATTCGATCTAGCCAAATATAACATTCCTTCCAGTTAACCTAAATATTGCCCATCTCCGAAGTCTAGCATCATTTACTTATAATTCGAATCGAATTTTTCTCTAACAATTACTTAATTGTTCATGAGTGGAGAGTTCACTATGGTTTGTATAAAAATATTTTTTATTGTGCGTAATTTGCACTGAAAATGACCTCACCCCCATTTGTTAATGAATTTTTTTTTATTTCATTTTCCCCGTATTTCGTAAACGTTTTTCTCAATGTGTGCTTTTTTCACTCGTTCAGTTGGAATCCATTTATTCAAAGAAAGTGTACTCTTCAGTAGAAGCAGGCGGTATATAAAATCTGCTAGAGTTTTTACAACAAACTTAAACACAACAAATTTGAAAGAGCTAGCTGTAGTTTTATTTTCAAATATTTTGCTTAATATCTCTTAAACCATTACATATTCCAGAGTTATTGATCAAATCCTATTTATTGATTTAGTTTAAGCTCGAAATTGTTTCTATCAGTTTTTTCTGTAGAGATCTGTTTTAATTACTACATGACCAATTTTTTTCTGTTTTATATAAATTTCATCTGGAATTTATAAGATCTGTTCGAACTCATAATTGAATGTTTGTTTATTTTTCGCATGTCAGTACAAGTAGTTTTTGGATGGCAACATTATAAATCAAAGATGTTTCGAAAAAATATATAATTAGCTTATTTGTCTATCTTTAAAGATGGAAATGTCTTATTTTTTAATGAAATAATTTGAACAGTTATTGTATAGTAAATACTCTAGACAGTTTGTTACACATTTTTGAGGGCAATCATTTGCCTATTATTAAATTTATTATAATTTTCTTTAAAAATAATTGGATTTTAGATAGACATTATTTAAAACACTTGTCAGTTGTGATCGTTTAGAAAAAGATTTGCAATAATGATGGTAAGTTGAAAAAACAGAACAAGAACTATACTACAACTGCACAAAAACAGAATTAGAACTAAACTAGAACTGAAGTAAAACTGAACTAGAACTGAACTAGAACGGAACTAGAATGGAACCAGAACTAGAACTGAACTAGAACTAGAACTGAACTAGAACTGAACTAGAACTGAACTAGAATGGAACCAGAACTACGACTAGAACTGAACTAGACTAGAACTGACTAGAACTGAACTAGAACTGAACTAGAACTGAACTAGAACTGAACTAGAACTGAACTAGAACTGAACTAGAACTGAACTAGAACTGAACTAGAACTGAACTAGAACTGAACTAGAACTGAACTAGAACTAACTAGAACTGAACTAGAAACTGAACTAGAACTGAACTAGAACTGAACTAGAACTGAACTAGAACTGAACTAGAACTGAACTAGAACTGAACTAGAACTGAACTAGAACTGAACTAGAACTGAACTAGAACTGAACTAGAACTGAACTAGAACTGAACTAGAACTGAACTAGAACTGAACTAGAACTGAACTAGAACTGAACTAGAACTGAACTAGAACTGAACTAGAACTGAACTAGAACTGAACTAGAACTGAACTAGAACTGAACTGGAACTGAACTAGAACTGAACTAGAACTGAACTAGAACTGAACTAGAACTGAACTAGAACTGAACTAGAACTGAACTAGAACTGAACTAGAACTGAACTAGAACTGAACTATAGGGTGATCGATTATTCGACATTTCCAAAAACCGGTTGTCGAATAGTTCGAATAGATGACATTTAAAAAAAAACCGGTTGATATTTTCAAATTCAGAAAAAAACCGGTTAACCGGTTTTTCATTATAATATAAAAATATATTTTTATTTGAAAAACTTAATGTTTAAATTTGATTAATAAAACATGACCCGAAATGATTTTTAACAGTTTAAAAGATTATCCCCCTTATTCACAAACAAAATTTTTATTTTATAAATAAGATTTTATATGGAAATTATGTTTTATAAACCTTTTATAAAATAAAAATGTTGTTTGTGAATAAGGGGTATATCTTTAGATCTAGTCGTCTGATTTACATTATTTCATTAATATAAAAAAATTAGGAAAAAAGTGGGACACTTCTGTTAAACATAAGGTACTATGTAATCTTAGCTTATTTTAAAAGCCCTGTTTAGGAAATTTGCATAGGCATTCCAACACTTCCATAAAATTTCAGCCGTAAATTAATTATTGGAATATAATCTTAAGATTGATAAAATTTTATCAAACAGTTATCAATTTTACAAAAAATTTTTTTGATTAATTAGGAAAATCAAAAAAGTTTAACCAAAGGAGCTGTAGAAAAATATACGCTAGTTCCTCGACTCGAATATTTTTAAAATTTAGACTGGCTGTATTATTATTTACTTAAAAATTATATTTAAATAATCTTTGAATACAAAGCAAATGAAAGTATTCGAAACCGGAAAAAAACCGGGTTATTCGATATTCGAAAAATCAACATTAAGAAAAAACCGACACTGGTAAAGCAGAAAAAACCGGTTTTAAAACCGGTTGAAAAATCGAGTCGATCACCCTACTGAACTAGAACTGAACTAGAACTGAACTAGAACTGAACTAGAACTGAACTAGAACTGAACTAGAACTGAACTAGAACTGAACTAGAACTGAACTAGAACTGAACTAGAACTGAACTAGAACTGAACTAGAACTGAACTAGAACTGAACTAGAACTGAACTAGAACTGAACTAGAACTGAACTAGAACTGAACTAGAACTGAACTAGAACTGAACTAGAACTGAACTAGAACTGAACTAGAACTGAACTAGAACTGAACTAGAACTGAACTAGAACTGAACTAGAACTGAACTAGAACTGAACTAGAACTGAACTAAACTGAACTAGAACTGAACTAGAACTAGAACTGAACTAGAACTGAACTAGAACTGAACTAGAACTGAACTAGAACTGAACTAGAACTGAACTAGAACTGAACTAGAACTGAACTAGAACTGAACTAGAACTGAACTAGAACTGAACTAGAACTGAACTAGAACTGAACTAGAACTGAACTAGAACTGAACTAGAACTGAACTAGAACTGAACTAGAACTGAACTAGAACTGAACTAGAACTGAACTAGAACTGAACTAGAACTGAACTAGAACTGAACTAGAACTGAACTAGAACTGAACTAGAACTGAACTAGAACTGAACTAGAACTGAACTAGAACTGAACTAGAACTGAACTAGAACTGAACTAGAACTGAACTAGAACTGAACTAGAACTGAACTAGAACTGAACTAGAACTGAACTAGAACTGAACTAGAACTGAACTAGAACTGAACTAGAACTGAACTAGAACTGAACTAGAACTGAACTAGAACTGAACTAGAACTGAACTAGAACTGAACTAGAAGAACTGAAACTAGAACTGAACTAGAACTGAACTAGAACTGAACTAGAACTGAACTAGAACTGAACTAGAACTGAACTAGAACTGAACTAGAACTGAACTAGAACTGAACTAGAACTGAACTAGAACTGAACTAGAACTGAACTAGAACTGAACTAGAACTGAACTAGAACTGAACTAGAAACTGAACTAGAACTGAACTAGAACTGAACTAGAACTGAACTAGAACTGAACTAGAACTGAACTAGAACTGACTAGAACTGAACTAGAAACTGAACTAGAACTGAACTAGAACTGAACTAGAACTGAACTAGAACTGAACTAGAACTGAACTAGAACTGAACTAGAACTGAACTGAACTGAACTAGAACTAGAACTGAACTAGAACTGAACTAGAACTGAACTAGAACTGAACTAGAACTGAACTAGAAACTGAACTAGAACTGAACTAGAACTGAACTAGAACTGAAAACTAGACTGAACTAGAACTGAACCTAGAACTGAACTAGAACTGAAACTAGAACTGAACTAGAACTGAACTAGAACTGAACTAGAACTGAACTAGAACTGAGAACTGAACTAGAACTGAACTAGAACTGAACTAGAACTGAACTAGAACTGAACTTGAACTGAACTAGAACTAGAAACTGAACTAGAAACTGAACTAGAACTGAACTACAACTGAACTAGAACTGAAACTAGAACTGAAACTAGAATTGAACTAGAACTGAACTAGAAACTGAACTAGAACTGAACTAGAACTGAACTAGAACTAAACAGAACTGAACTAGAACTGAACTAGAACTGAACTAGAACTGAACTAGAACTGATCTAGAACTGAACTAGAACTTAACTAGAAACTGAACTAGAATTAAACTAGAACTGAATAGAACTGAACTAGTATAACTATAGTCTATAGTCCAAACTTAGCCTACAGTCTCGACTATAATCAATAATCTTGGCTATAGCCTTCAGTCCAAAATTCTAGTCCTGACTATAGTCTGTTAGAAAGTCAACAAAAAAATCTCCCTTGATCTCATAAATAAGCAAAACTCTCTCTTTTTTTGAACTCTCTTAATAACAAAGGTTTTACAAGAGAACAGAAAATGATCGTTGCTCTTCCTATTGGATCTCAAACATAAAAAAAATGCAAAAAAAAAAAAACTTAAAAGATTTCTGAATCTAAAATGTTTAAATGAATTTTAGTATATTTTTGCTATTTGTATAGAAGCATTTAAATTTATAAACGAAAATATCATCGTGCAAAAGAAAAAACGAAAAGAAAATTCTTGAAACAAAGAAGAACGAAAGTAATAGACGTGACAATTTCACGTTAAAAGTGAATTTCAATTGAAAATCGATCAAATTAAAAGTAATTTTTAAGAAAAGAAAAAAAGTACACAATGGCTACAATTAACGAACAGAAGCCAGCCAATGTTGAGGTGGTCATTGACAAAAAAGCACAAAAGGCAGGAGAAAAAATGTTGCGCGCTCAAAGGGAACAAGAAATTTACAATAATTTTGCCACACCTCTAGTGGGCACCTTTTTGAATTTAACCCAAGAACCGGCTTTAATTAAATGTCCCAGTTGTGGCATAGAGGAAATGAGTGAAGTAGTCGATGAATTGAAATGGTGGGCCACAGAAATTAATCGCTTTCTCGGATGTTTGTTTGTGTAAGAAACTATATAAATCGAAAACAGTTTTAAAATGATTTAAAATTTTTAATTATATTTTAATAACTAGAACCTTGTGTTGTTGTTGCTGTTTGGACTATAACCTGCCCTGTAAATCCAGTGATCGTAATCATTATTGCAAAAATTGTGGCTGCTATTTTGGGCGAGCCATGCGAATTCCTCCCCTAAACAAAGTCAAAATGCGTAAGCAGTGATAGAATACATGAAACAGATGATGCTAATGCGGGCGTTGAAAACTATATAGTGTTCATACAGTTTTGGTTTAAAATGTATCTATAAAATTTATTTAATTTTTTTTCTTCGGTTCATCTGCTTATAATTAGCTTATATATGGTGGCATTTACTGTGCTAAAGAAATGTTTAGATTGATCTATAAATGATCGCACACACAACAAAATAACATCAAGTGTTTTCAAACAAAATAACATTTTAAATTGTTTTTATTTTTAATATATACAATATAAAAAAATGTATATAAAACATAAATAAAATAAATAATATATTTAAAAATATGTATACATTTAAGTATGCTTTACAACAAAAACAATCTAAATAAAAAAATAAATCTCCCTCCAAAAAATTCTCTTAAATTTTTCTCTTTTATTTTCACGTAAAACAAATATTTGTTTATTTGTTTGTAAAATCTTATTCCCACTCAGTATTTTCCCAAACGTTTAACCATTCATCTCTAAGCGCTTCAATCTATATCTTATAGATTTAATTGAAATAAAAGTGAGTAATAATATTTCTGCGTAATTTTAAAAAAAAAAATATTTTAATCTTTTTAGCAATTAAATTTATGAACTAATTAATAAAATTCCATTATTTTTTAATTTTTCTTCAAGGTTAGCATCATTGTCTGGTTTTTCCACTGTTCTCATCATGCAAAACGAAACTTTACCACCACCTGTGTATTTTGCTGTAGGCCCTCAACCCCATGAGGTTTCTTGTCCATTTTGTAAACAATATAGTAAAACAACTATGAAACGTTCCTTTTTCCGCTGCTCTTTACGACGCCACTATTGTTCACACTGTGGCGAATATTTGGGTTCCTATAGACGTCCTCAGTTGTAGTTAAATATTGTGTGAAAATAAATGTATTTTAATTGTTTTTTATTATTTTATGTATTGAAAATTGGTAATAAATTTGTTCTTCAACAAGATTTTAAAATTTGTTATTTCTGACAAAAAACTAACGAATTTCCACGCGGATATACAAGTGAATATTTCTAAAAGAAAATGTTATTAAGAATCGATTCAATTGATCAAAACTGTACCAGAAATGAACTGAACTAGAACTGAACTAGAACTGAACTAGAACTGAACTAGAACTGAACTAGAACAGAACTGAAACTAGAACTGAACTAGAACTGAACTAGAACTGAACTAGAACTGAACTAGAACTGAACTAGACTGAACTAGAACTGAACTAGAACTGAACTAGAACTGACTAGAACTGAACTAGAACTGAACTAGAACTGAACTAGAACTGAACTAGAACTGAAGTAGAACTGAACTAGAACTGAACTAGAACTGAACTAGAACTGAAGTAGAACTGAACTAGAACTGAAACTAGAACTGAAACTAGAACTGACTAGAACTGAACTAAAACCGAACTAGAAACTGAACTAGAACTGAACTAGAACGAACTAGAACTGAACTAGAAACTGAACTAGAACTACTAGAACTGAACTAGAACTGAACTAGACTGAACTAGAACTGAACTAGAACTGAACTAGAACTGAACTAGAACTGAACTAGAACTGAACTAGAACTGAACTAGAACGAACTAGAACTGAACTAGAACTGAACTAGAACTGAACTAGAACTGAACTAGAACTGACTAGAACTGAACTAGAACTGAACTAGAACTGAACTAGAACTGACTAGAACTGAACTAGAACTGAACTAGAACTGAACTAGAACTGAACTAGAACTGAACTAGAACTGAACTAGAACTGAACTAGAACTGAACTAGAACTGAACTAGAACTGAACTAGAACTGAACTAGAACTGAACTAGAACTGAACTAGAACTGAACTAACTGAACAGAACTGAACTAGAACTGAACTAGAACTGAACTAGAACTGAACTAGAACTGAACTAGAACTGAACTAGAACTGAACTAGAACTGAACTAGAACTGAACTAGAACTGAACTAGAACTGAACTAGAACTGAACTAGAACTGAACTAGAACTGAACTAGAACTGAACTAGAACTGAACTAGAACTGAACTAGAACTGAACTAGAACTGAACTAGAACTGAACTAGAACTGAACTAGAACTGAACTAGAACTGAACTAGAACTGAACTAACTAGAACTGAACTAGAACTGAACTGGAACTGAACTGGAACTGAACTAGAACTGAACTAGAACTGAACTAGAACTGAACTAGAACTGAACTAGAACTGAACTAGAACTGAACTAGAACTGAACTAGAACTGAACTAGAACTGAACTAGAACTGAACTAGAACTGAACTAGAACTGAACTAGAACTGAACTAGAACTGAACTAGAACTGAACTAGAACTGAACTAGAACTGAACTAGAACTGAACTAGAACTGAACTAGAACTGAACTAGAACTGAACTAGAACTGAACTAGAACTGAACTAGAACTGAACTAGAACTGAACTAGAACTGAACTAGAACTGAACTAGAACTGAACTAGAACTGAACTAGAACTGAACTAGAACTGAACTAGAACTGAACTAGAACTGAACTAGAACTAAAACTAAAGCTGAACCTTTACAATAACTATAGTCCCGACAATAGTCATTAATCTCGAATATAGTCTATAGTTCCAACTACAGTCAAAAGTCTCGACCATAATCTATAGTTTCTATAGTCCCAAATAGAGTCTATGATCTATAGACCCGACTAACTAGCCTTTACTCTATGGTATATAGTCCCAGCTTTATATACATACATATGTATTAGCATTAAAATATTATTATTTGTTTCTTAAATTTACATTTAGGAAAAATGTTTATATATGTAAATTTTATTTAAAATGTGTTCTAATTTCAACAAAAATTTAAATGCCACAACATTTTCACATTAAACAATTGCATTCTATAGAATCGTTTTTATTTAATTTTAATACTTATTTTTCTTTTGTCAGACAAACACTTTCAGCATAATTTTCTTTGAATTATTTTCCCACTAAAATCTAAAAATAATCATTTTTATTACAACTATTTAGGTTTTCTCTGTATGCCCAATTTGCCACCACACTGACTACAGTACAGGCCCTTTGTAGTCCATTCTCGATTGCAGCCACACCAAGTGCAAATGCAACAAATCCAAAATAAAGGAAAGACACTAAAAACAGAAATAAACAATTTCATTCATAAAATAAAATTGCAACAATTTACATTCCAGAAATGTTTACACTTACCACGACAACATCGATAAACAACAAGTGGCATCTTTATAGCCAGCTGCACGCACAACTGCCGCATCCGCACGCTGACGACACAGGGGGCACTTAATGCGATATGTTGATGGACCGACAGCATAATAACGCAGACGGGGTTTTTCAGTCTTTCCTTGTGTGTTTTGCAATTGATTAACATTAGTGGCTGTCACCACTTCATCAATATACGGCATCAGTCCAGTTCCATCTCCGTTGGCAACATCTTCCACCAAGACGACATTGGCTATAATATTACGTTTACGTTCTTCGGCCGTTTGTGCAGGTACTAATTTGATTTTGATTTTATCTCGTACAGAAGACTCCACTTGTTCCATACTGATGCAGTAGTTAAAGGGTACTAACTACAGCTGCTCACTGGTGGTTCAATCATGTGTGGCAGTAATTGATTTGAATTAAAATTCATAGAAAATTCAAAAATATCAAATTAAAGAGAATTTAGTGTTCTTAATTAAAAGAGTAATTAAGTTGTTTCACAGAGAAATAAGATATTGAAGATTTTTTTAAAAAGAGCGATTTTATGCTAAGAGCTAAATGTGTGATGAAAATAATGATGATTACTGTGGGAAGTATTAACGCATTATTTGATAGGATTGCCACAAATATTTGAGTATAAATAAAAATCTATGGAATAGGGTTTTCATACTAGAACTTAACTAGAACTAAACTAGAACTAAACTAGAACTGAACGAGAACTGAACTAGGACAGAACTAGAACTGAACTAGAACTGAACTAGAACTGAACTAGAACTGAACTAGAACTGAACTAGAACTGAACTAGAACTGAACTAGAATTGAACTAGAACTGAACTGGAACTGAACTAGAATTGAACTAGAACTGAACTAGAACTGAACTAGAACTGAACTAGAACTGAACTAGAACTGAACAAGAACTGAACAAGAACTGAACTAGAACTGAACTAGAACTGAACTAGAACTGAACTAGAACTGAACTAGAACTGAACTAGAACTGAACTAGATCTGAACTACAACTAAACTAGAACTGAACTAGAACTGAACTAGAACTGAACAAGAACTGAACTAGAATTGAACTAGTTCTGAACTAGAACTAAACTAGAACTGAACTGAACTAGAACTGAACTAGAACTGAACTAGAACTGAACTAGAACTGAAATAGAACTGAACTAGAACTGAACTAGAACTGAACTAGAACTGAACTAGAACTGAACTAGAACTGAACTAGAACTGAACTAGAACTGAACTAGAACTGAACTAGAACTGAACTAGAACTGAACTAGAACTGAACTAGAACTGAACTAGAACTGAACTAGAACTGAACTAGAACTGAACTAGAACTGAACTAGAACTGAACTAGAACTGAACTAGAACTGAACTAGAACTGAACTAGAACTGAACTAGGAACTAGAACTGAACTAGAACTGAACTAGAAACTGAACTAGAACTGAACTAGAACTGAACTAGAACTGAACTAGAACTGAACTAGAACTGAACTAGAACTGAACTAGAACTGAACTAGAACTGAACTAGAACTGAACCTAGAACTGAACTAGAACTGAACTAGAACTGAACTAGAACTGAACTAGAACTGAACTAGAACTGAACTAGAACTGAACTAGAACTGAACTAGAACTGAACTGGAACTGAACTAGAACTGAACTAGAACTGAACTAACTGAACTAGAACTGAACTAGATCTGAACTAGAACTGAACTAGAACTAAACTAGAACTGAACTAGAACTGAACTAGAACTGAACTAGAACTGAACTAGAACTGAACTAGATCTGAACTAGAAACTAAACTAAGAACTGAACTAGAACTGAACTAGAACTGAACAAGAACTGAACAAGAACTGAACTAGAATTGAACTAGTTCTGAACTAGAACTGAACTAGAACTGAACTAGAACTGAACTAGAACTGAACTAGAACTGAACTAGAACTGAACTAGAACTGAACTAGAACTGAACTAGAACTGAACTAGAACTGAACTAGAACTAAACTAGAACTAAACTAGAACTAAACTAGAACTAAACTAGAACTGAACTAGAAATGGACTAGAACTGAACTTGAACTGAACTAGTACTGAACTAGAACTGAACTAGAACTGAACTAGAACCGAACCAGAACTGAATAAGACAGTTCATTGACAAAAAGTTGATCGAAAGCGGAAATATTAACGCTTATTACAGATTTTGCTTTTCACTCTGGTATGAAAATGATTAAAAATTGGTTATAATTGAATATGTCAGCCGACGTGGCAACCCTATTTCAGTATATTTATTATATTAAAGCATTAAAGCATATTATTCTAATTTTAAAATTCCATTTTCATTATGATGTCATGGCATGGATTCGCATCAGTTGGTCAATATTAAAAACACATACACACAAAAATAAATAAAACACATTCTCAAACAAGTTCAAGAAAATTTAAATTTTTTTATACAAAACGATTATAATTTGAAGCACTTTTAAATATAGAAGAAAATAAAATTAAGAAGAAATACATACACTTGAACACTAAACATATTTTGAATACTCATACGTTCGCGCTCAAAATCGAAATTTATACAAATATTTTATATTTATTTATCGACTGCAGTCTCTTGTCCGTCAACACCCTCCTCGTTTTTTTTGAGCAATTTCAAATGTTTCTGTTTATCCTTGTCCAATTGTTCTTTTTCGACTTTACGAAAACGTTGCCATCTGCCTTCTTCCTCTACATCGGAACGTTGCATGCGAAATAGTTGACGTTTGTACCAGCTCAAAGTAATGTAACGGCCGATAAAGCAACCGCATTTGCTGCAATAGTGATTAATGTCATGGCGTCCATTCCAACGTATGGGAGTGCTAGTGTCAACAAAAGGTGTAAAATTAATGGATTACAGTGGGGAAAAAACTACAGTTTATATTTACCAACAAAGACCGGTATTGATGACTGCAACAAAACGTTGCAATACAGTGACTGCTTGCCTATCAACACGTGTAAGAGCACGCTGGTGACAGGAGGGACAATCGATTTCGATGGGTTCTTTTTGTAAATGTCCTACATTTTTTGGCAATACCGGTAGTATATTTTCTAATACTTTTGGTGATTCTGTATGTGGAACTGTAGTATTTGTCATTGTTTAAATAGAGTGAAATGAAAATGAAAACTCAACGAAATTGCGAGTGCGTAGTGACTGATTGTCTGTGACACAATTTACTAAAAAAAACGTATTTTCAAAATAAAACAAAATTTATTTATTTTCTTTTTCTTCACAAACACTTTCAACAAACCCACAATTTATTTATATTCTGTCGTCATCTCATTCTTAAGAGCAGCATGTTGTATCTCATAGTAATCGCCAGTAGATCACTTCAGATTCGGGCCATTTCAAAAGATTTGTCTCAAAATGTTGTTGCTAATCTTTTAAGAGTTTTGCTTTTTATTTCATTATGAACTTGAAATTTTATACAAAATATTCATGTTTTTTTTCTTCTTTAAATTTTCGTGCGTATGTTTTTATTTTACAGAATTTATTTACATTTTTATTATTATTTTTTTTTTAAGAAATACAAAAAATTTTTGTTTAAAAATATTTTCTTTTTGTCTATGCTTCATCATTATGTGGGTCTCCAATAGAATCCCAAATGACCTCCACAATTATTGCAAAACAATCTCTTGCTCTTTAGACGACTCTGCAGACACATATATACCAGCGAGAGTGAAAATATGGGAAAACAACTGAAAATACATATATGTAAATTTTCAAAAATAAACAAAAAAAAAAAAAAAATTTAATTTAAAAAAGAACAACTAAATATACATATTAATCTTAAATACAAAGTATTTTAAACCGGGGCAAATTTATAAATTAATAATAATGATCATTGATCATATTGATCTCTATGTACCTTGAACAGCCTATAGTTTTGACTATAGAGAAGTTTATAGACTTGGCTATAGTCTTGACTATAGAACAGTCTATAATTTTGACTATAGAACAGATTATAGTCTAGACTATAGCACAGTCTATAGTCTTGACTATAGAACAGTCTATGGCATTGACTATGGAACAGTTTATGGCCTTGACTATAAAACAGTCTATAGTCTTGACTATAGAACAGTCTATAGTCTTGACTATAGAACAGTCTATAGTCTTGACTATAGAACAGTCTGTAGTCCTGACTATAGAACAGTCTGTAGTCTTGACTATAGAACAGTCTATAGCATTGACTATAGAACAGTCTATAGTTTTGACTATAGAACAGTCTATAGTCTTGACTATAGAACAGTCTATAGTCTTGACTATAGAACAGTCTATAGTCTTGACTATAGAACAGTCTATAGTCTTGGCTATAGAACAGTCTATAGTCTAGACTATAAAACAGTCTATAGTCTTGACTACAGAACAGTCTATAGTCTTGACTATAGAACAGTCTATAGTCTTGACTATAGAACAGTCTATAGTCTTGACTATAGAACAGTCTATAGTCTTGACTATAGAACAGTCTATAGTCTTGACTATAGAACAGTCTATAGTCTTGACTATAGAACAGTCTATAGTCTTGACTATAGAACAGTCTATAGTCTTGACTATAGAACAGTCTATAGCCTTGACTACAGAACAGTCTATAGTCTTGACTATAGAACAGTCTAGAGTCTTGACTATGAATCAGTCTATAGTCTAAACTATAGAACAGTCTTCAGTTTTGACTATAGAACAGTCCATTATAGTCTTGATTATAGAACAGTCTATAGTCTTGACTATAGAACAGTCTATTATAGTCTTGACTATAGAACAGTCTATAGTCTAAACTATAGAGCAGTCTATAGTCTTGACTATAGAACAGTCTATAGTCTTGACTATAGAACAGTCTATAGTCTTGACTATAGAACAGTCTATAGTCTTGACTATAGAACAGTCTATAGTCTTGACTATAGAACAGTCTATAGTCTTGACTATAGAACAGTCTATAGTCTTGACTATAGAACAGTCTATAGTCTTGACTATAGAACAGTCTATAGTCTTGACTATAGAACAGTCTATAGTCTTGACTATAGAACAGTCTATAGTCTTGACTATAGAACAGTCTATAGTCTTGACAATAGAACAGTCTATAGTCTTGACTATAGAACAGTCTATAGTCTTGACTATAGAACAGTCTATAGTCTTGACTATAGAACAGTCTATAGTCTTGACTATAGAACAGTCTATAGTCTTGACTATAGAACAGTCTATAGTCTTGACTATAGAACAGTCTATAGTCTTGACTATAGAACAGTCTATAGTCTTGACTATAGAACAGTCTATTATAGAACAGTCTATAGTCTTGACTATAGAGCAGTTTATAGTCTTGACTATAGAGCAGTTTATAGTCTTGACTATAGAACAGTCTATTATAGTCTGGACTATAGAACAGTCTATAGTCTGGACTATAGAAGAGTATATAGTCTTGACTATAGAGCAGTCTATAGTCTTGACTATAGAGCAGTCTATAATCTTGACTATAGAGCAGTCTATAGTCTTGACAATAGAGCAGTCTATAGTCTTGACTATAGAGCAGTCTATAGTCTTGACTATAGAGCAGTCTATAGTCTTGACTATAGAGCAGTCTATAGTCTTGACTATAGAGCAGTCTATAGTCTTGACTATAGAGCAGTCTATAGTCTTGACTATAGAGCAGTCTATAGTCTTGACTATAGAGCAGTCTATAGTCTTGACTATAGAGCAGTCTATAGTCTTGACTATAGAGCAGTCTATAGTCTTGACTATAGAGCAGTCTATAGTCTTGATTATAGAGCAGTCTATAGTCTTGATTATAGAGCAGTCTATAGTCTTGACTATAGAGCAGTCTATAGTCTTGACTATAGAGCAGTTTATAGTCTTGACTATAGAACAGTCTATTATAGTCTGGACTATAGAACAGTCTATAGTCTGGACTATAGAAGAGTATATAGTCTTGACTATAGAGCAGTCTATAGTCTTGACTATAGAGCAGTCTATAATCTTGACTATAGAGCAGTCTATAGTCTTGACAATAGAGCAGTCTATAGTCTTGACTATAGAGCAGTCTATAGTCTTGACTATAGAGCAGTCTATAGTCTTGACTATAGAGCAGTCTATAGTCTTGACTATAGAGCAGTCTATAGTCTTGACTATAGAGCAGTCTATAGTCTTGACTATAGAGCAGTCTATAGTCTTGACTATAGAGCAGTCTATAGTCTTGACTATAGAGCAGTCTATAGTCTTGACTATAGAGCAGTCTATAGTCTTGATTATAGAGCAGTCTATAGTCTTGACTATAGAGCAGTCTATAGTCTTGACTATAGAGCAGTCTATAGTCTTGACTATAGAAAAGTCTATAGTCTTGACTATAGAAAAGTCTATAGTCTTGACTATAGAAAAGTCTATAGTCTTGACTGTAGAAAAGTCTATAGTGTTGACTATAGAAAAGTCTATAGTCTTAACTATAGAATAGTCTATAGTCTTAACTATAGAACAGTCTATAGTCTGCTCTTTAGACCAATCTATAGTCTTGACTATTGAACAGTCTATAATATTGATTATAGAATTTTCTATAATCTTCTCTTTAGACCAACCTATAGTCTTATTGAACAGTTTATAGTCTTGATTATAGAATAGTCTATAGTCTGGACTATAGAAAAAAACTTTATAAGCATTTGGACTTTAGACCCCATGTTTGTATTCCGGTTTTTATTCATCACTCTTAATTTGTATTCCATACTCACCAAGAAAACGACGACAACAAACAACTTAATTGACCCAAAATTCCGCTCATCTGTACAGTTTCAGCATCGGCCCGCTGTTTACACAATGGACAGCGTAATTGATGGGTACTGGGACCCACAGAAAAATAACGTAAATGTGGTTTATCATCATCTTTATCGGTTAGTGTTGACCAGGAACGTAATTTTTGAGGTGAAGTTACAAAATCGGTGGTATCTTGTCCTTCATACTGGATATTATCGACATTTTTATTGAATGTAATGCATTTCTTAAAGGCAGGTGAGTGCTGGTGATGATCTTCGGGTGTGTTGGGTGAATCCAAATTAACATCAATCATTTCCTCAATTTGTGGCATTTTGATGTTGGGGGATCAGTAGAAGTAGAAAATGAAATGACTTAAGACAAAAGATACAAATGGACTGCGTGCCACTACGCGTTTAGCAAGAAAACTAAATGTTTGATGAATAATTCTTGAAGAATAGTCCAATATAAATAAATAAAATTTTTTTTGGCGACGATTTTTTTTTTTTTTGTTTGTTGTTATTTTATTTTTATTTTTCTAATAATTATTTAAGAGATTTTCTTAATGCGAACCTATTTTTAAGAGTTTTTCTTAACCTCATAGATGTTTAAGAGATTATTTAATTAGTTTTTGGGAATTCATTCTGTACGATAGAAAATAGCGGCATATTGTTTGTAGTAAGAAGAATATATTACTATTTGGGTCTGTAATATTGTTACTGTAGATCAGATTTGTAGATCATTCGAATGTATGATTATATGTATCTAAATTTCATATTTAACCATTGTTTTACATTCTGCAATTCATTAACCCCATATTCCCCCAAAAATTTAATAAAGTTTATTCAACTGCAGTCACTATTGGTGTGACCTACTTTACGTACTAAACACTATTATTTGAATATTAATTCAAAAAAGCGGAAGAAACTGCATCAAAACTAGACATACAGCTATTGGCTTAAAGCCATTTAATAGTGAAGCATATATACTTTCTGATGGAGTACTTCAACAAACATATAATGACCATTAAATAACTTTAATACAAACCCAATCAGTTACACTTAATCAAAATTTTGAATATTTTATTTTAAACACTTGTCAAATTAAATAAGTGTGTATGTAAATTTACCGTTAAAAGGTCACACAACTCTTCAGTGATCACTTTACAAGACTGCATAGAGTCTTCCAAATGCAAAGCACGTTACTTACTTTCAAACCTACTTCACCTACTTCAAAAAACCAGTCACGGTCAAAATTGGCTTAAAGAGGCCTGCACATTAATGAGACAGTCAAATTACAGCTTATTAAACTTCACTTTCAATTGAAGTGTTTTAAAGTATGAAACGAGTGATAGTTGAAAGAGTGTAAAATTTTTTACTTATTTTATTAATTAATTTTTATTTACAGCTATTTTAACCTATAAAAGAATTTAACCTATTTTATTTACGAACGTTTCCAGTAGCCTAAATTACTGCCACATTTATTGCATATAACTTTACGACCAATGGAACGTTTCAAACAGCACTGATAGACACGACTGATGGGGAATAAGGGCAGGCAGCTGAAAATAGGAAAATTAAAGAAATTATTCATTAAGGATATAAGAAACAAGAGATTTTTTTAATCAAAACCTCAGGGTTCCAAACATAGAGTTGTTTCACCGATTTTACTCATTTTCAAGATCAAACATTTCAGATCAACATAGAATATTTGTATAAAATTTTAAGCCTATAGTTAATTTCAAATCAATAACAAATACATAAACATTTGATAACTTCCGACTTCTTATACCCTGTTGTTTAGGGCCTCTGGGAGTTTTAATTAAATCTATTTTTGTTTGACCGATTTAAACTATATATTTTCCAATATCAAACATTTCAAATATACATAGGGAATTTTTTATAAAGTTTAGTGAAAGGCGAAAAGCATAGAACTAAAAGAAAAAATGCTGGAAGTGAAATTCGTCCCTATTTTTGGACCTATTTGGCGGAAAACATGTGTTAGCAGTACCAACAGTCTGTTGGGACTAGAAATTGGAGGAATCAAATGACCCTCGAGGGTATTTCACAAGCAGTTTGACCAGAACAACTAGTACTATAGGAGTCTATGTCTCGCAAGATTCATTTTTTATTGTATATTGGTTGGATCCCTTCAGGCTATACATAGTAATTGTTCTCAACCACCCCTAACCGCGGGAAGGAAATGTTGGTTAAAATACTGATGCAAGGCGCATTTAAAACGTAATTCGTATAAACCACAGAAAACATGTGCACCCTAAAGAAATCTCTCCAACAACCGGTACAAGACAAAATACGAAACCCCGTGGGCTACCGGTTCCCGTGGTATCAGATAAGATACATATGTATGTGCTCTGGTTCGACCCCAAGTCAAACAATTCCAAGGAAAGGCCGAGGATACATTTTTCCTCCGGATTGCAATTACACCCAGATGTACAGGCCGACAAAATATAAAAATTGTCGATTCCCTATGACCAAGTTATACTCCTCTAAAGAAGTGAGTCAAGCTGAAAAAAATCAGGATACTCTGTTCATATCTGATCTAGTGCAATACCCTGCAAAAATTATTGGAGTATATGATCCGTTTAGTTGTCCTATGTAATTCAGGCATGGATCATGTTTATTTTTCAAACAACATGGTCCTTAGCCTGCATTACATGGGACCATGTTGGGGATCACGTGCTCCCAAAATTTTAGCAAGAGAGTAGTTTTGGGATTACTCCGATGTAATGCATAAATGGATTACGTGGTCCTCATCTAGGACATCATAATGTTAAATGGAATATGTTCTTTCAATATATTTGGATTAGTTTTGGACATACGATGTCTTGGCTTAATAGTGGAGATCGTACAACCTAAGTTACTGTTGTCGAAACAGAAGAGGCCATTTCACCAGTATTGATGAATTTGTTGTCGAGGAAACCTTTAGATACAACCTGAAGTATAGAGTGCTTGTGCATGGACATGGCATCATCGATATTTCACCTGCATGTTCCCTGCACTACACAAAGTAGTCTCTAAGTCACCCCGAAATTAAGCATGGGCTTAAGAAAGAACTCACGTAGACCTCTAGGAACATTATATTAACATATATCGGTGTTACGCACTTTCCTCCTATAAGAGGGGTAAACAGGCAGACGGACGGAAAGACGATTTCAAAATAAACGGAACAGTTTTGAACTAAAATATATTCAAATCGTTACCAAGTCGTTAGTTTCTCCCCAAAATAATTACTAAATCCAAAGGCCAACTTACCACGACAACAAAGTCTCAAATCTCACACTTTCCGCATCCAGACGCTGATGACAATCGGGACAATACATTTGACGCAGACAACTGATATTGGGATTATCCAACATTTTATTAGAAGTCTTCTTAATGCCACCAATTGTAGCATATTTCTGATAATTATTCAATTTACTTTCAGCCAATTCACGTTCCTTTAAATCATTAATACTATAGGATTTCGTTATACAGTGCGAGGCTTCACGTAAACGCAAATCATTTATTTCATCTTGTAAATGCATTAATTTCGAATTTAAATTCACTTCAATCATATCTTTGTCCTCGATCATTTTTCGATTTTTTGGTGTTTATTTTAATAATAAATGTTTTTTTTAATAATTTTCAAACCAACCGTTTGGTTTAACGTTTAAATAGAGTTTAAATTCAAAATTGATTGAACGTTCGATTACGTTTGTTGCGGCGATCGAGGCACTCAGCTACTTCGATCGCTGCTGCATGTGTTTTATAATTTTTATTTAAACAAAAAAAATAATTGTGTGTTGGGATTTTATATAAAATTAGAATAAAGAGAGTTTCAGGTGGTTTGTAATTTAGGTAATAGTTACTTTATGGGCGCTATAGTAATATAAAAAAGGTAAATATGGTTTATCGGTTTCCCCTGTTACTTAAACATGATATTCTATGTTCTCTCTCTTAATAGGTTTTTACTGAAAACTTAAAAAATAGTCCATTGAAGACTTTTGATTACAGTTAAAAGAATGGCCCCGACTTCTTTTTAAAGGTGTTAACAAGTAATATTTTGAATGCGGATGTTAAAAATTACAGACTTTCAGTTTTAACAATAGTTATTCAAATTTCAGGGTCATAAACCTTTCAAACTTGCAAAATATGTATAATGGTGCACACTTGTCTTAAATTGTAAATATTATGTAAGATGTACAGTTAGTGCCCGTCCCATAGATATACACGTGACTTGAATTTTTAATTAGTTTTACTTAAACAAATGTTATTTAAGATAACTATAGCAAAATCGTAGATATAGCTACTTCTTTTAGTAGCAAGATCTCTAATATATGGGTATCAGGCCACAGTATAATCGGAAATAAAGGAGCAAGTGCGATTTCTATCAGACGAAGAGAGCATGCTCTCGAAGCATTAGATACCTTGTTCTAAAGTAAAGCGTGATCCAGAGAGAACATTCTACATCGTTTGAAACGAGTAGTTTCCAGACCCAATTTTTCTAAATAGTACTTTCTGCAAGGGGAAGAGAGCATGTATGTTCGAGGGTCAAACATGCTCTCAAAGCATCAGATACCTTATTCTAAAGTTAAGCGCAACCCAGAGAGAGCATTCTACATCGATTGAAACGAATAGTTTACAGACCAAGCGTTTCTAAATAGTTTCTAACAATTATTGCATATATGGATAAATGTCCGAAGGTTGTCATATCGGGCAAGGTCTCCAATATATGGGTATCAGGCCACAGGATAATCGGTAATGAAGGAGCAAGTGCGCTTTCTATCAGAGGAAGAGAACATGCTGTTCGAAGCCCATACATGCTCTCGAAGCATTAGATACCTTGTTCTCAAGTAAAGCGTGATCCAGAGAGAGCATTCTACATCGATTGAAACGAATAGTTTCCAGATCCAGTTGTTCTAAATAGTTTCTAACAGTTATTGTCTAGATAGATAAATATCCAAAGGTTGTCTACGCTTTCATATCTGGCCGTTTATTCTGGTAGCTTTTTTGGCAAATGCTTGGTTCAACTGAATCAGTTGCATTCGGTACAGGTAACCTCTTATGGTCTGGCTAAAAAAAATTTGAAACGTTTTATATTTTTACTAAAAAAGTCTCTAATAATAGAAAAAGCTCCGATTTATTTTCTATTTTAGAGTAATATACAATAATATTGAATATATTT